TAAACACTAGAACAAACTTAAATGGATCATAAGGGAGATTAAGTGATAGAGGGCTAAATTTTAACCTAATAGCAACTGCAACAATTCAATTTCCAATGCATTTTGCATGTTACCAAAGCTATTCACATTCTTGGTCCATGATTAGAGGGGATTCACCGGGGGCTTAATCCACATATATTTCCCCTTCACATTTAAAAAAAAACCTGAAACAGCTTTAAAATGGGTCATAGGGATATCAAATGTCAAGATAATACATTTTGACCTAGCTACGTTTGCAATAATTGACTTTACAATGCTCTCTGATAACAGGGTTATTTATACCCCTCAACTATGATCGGAAAGGATTCACCAGAGGCTTAATCCGTGCGTGGACCCTACAAATCCATCTTGGGCTTCCACTGTTATCCGTAGCCTTCTGAAAACTGGGTGTTCACAATTTAAGCTCTGATGCCATTTCCCTCCTTTAGATTTGGATTATATTATTTGCAATCCTTGGATCACACAGGCTGACATGCTTCTTCCATATGAGTTGATGCATCACTTAAATGGCTGCTTATTTGAAAACAAGTCTTTAAGACTCCAGATACTATTATTTCTGATAGCCAAGCACCATCTATTTTCTTCAGTGATTGCTTCTTGAGGTCAAGCATCAAGCAGGGCCATGTCATAAGAATTAATTGGTGTTCTATTGGGGCTAGAATTAAGTGCAAGCCCCAAATCCATTAATGCAGCTATGGTTTATATATGTCTCTGGTTCACCTTAGAGGCACCATTGTTATTTATGCTAGAGAACATTATCAATCCTCCCCCTGGGGCATCACTTCCACTGCGATCAAGTCAATGCTAACTCATATGGAATTCTTACAGAACTCCTCTATAAGTCTCAGAGCCTGCAAAGCTTCACAGTAGTAGAAAGCCTCATCCTTCCCTTCAGGAGCTGGCGAGTGGTTTTGAACTGCAGACATTGCAGTTAGCAGCCCAATGTATAACCACTATGCATCGAAAGTATCATTAGTGTAGCCAATGGTATACAATGTAAAACACTACTGAGAAAAGGAAATTATAGCAGTATAGGCCAGCTATGAACTGTAACATATGAATTGTTGACTTGTACAGATTAGACTCTTAAGTGACTGGAAACTATTTACGCAAACAGCGAAGGTTGGTGATAGTGCAAATCTTCCAATATTTTCATTCATAGCCACAGAGCCACACCTCCCAGATTAATACATGTCATAATGAAGCAAGGAGGGCATTAAAATAGTAAGTTGACAGTAGTTCCGGGCCACCACGCATTGAGCACCCTCAAGGCAAGAGATGTAAACCAAAGTCCAATGTCCACCAGTTCTTTTCCATTGAGCTAGCAGTCATCTGCCGCTTCTCACAGTAGAGTCTCAGCCTTACGTCCAATGGTACAGATGAGTTTGCGGTAAAGCCCCATTCACTTCGCGGGGGTTCCACAGTGAGCCCTTCTGGTGTGACCGATGAAAGATACCGTGCAACTCAAAACAACAGGGTCTAAAGTCCCAATAATCTACAGCACGTGGACTGGACAACAAGGGGCTACATAGACACGAGGTCAAAAGTGTCCAATTAGGAACCTAGGACAAGACAGAGTCCCCCCTTGGGCTCCATGTAAGTATTGTTAAGTTTTCTTCCTGTTGGGAGGTTACTCCTTCTCATTTATTTACCAACAAAGATGCAATGACCTTCTCTGAGACATACATGCCCCCCTACCCATCTGTTGACTTGAATTTCCAGTAACATTTCCGTATCACTGTCCAAATGACCGTAGCCCAATTTTGTATGGCAACTACGGAATGATCTTCCCCCTCTCCCGATCTTGAAAAACTGACCCCAGCTGAGGTCAGGCCTTCTCTGTCAAAGGGGTTTTGAAGATGTACTTTTAGAGGGGTGATGTATATTTCATGGACACTAGGCAAGTCTCTGTCTCGTGGCTTAGGAGACTGGGTTAGGTTACATGTTCTGGGAGCGGTGGCCTGCCTTCATCGTAGTGGACTCATACAATATTTGTCCTTTGGTGGTTGACTAACTTCAGTCATCCTAATGGTTTCCAGGTCCCTCCGTGCCCTGGTTTCATTGCTGCTTGGGAGGCATGCGTAGTATTCCATTGTGTGTATGTAGCTGAGTTTCTTTGCCCTTCTTCTACTGATGTGCAATTGGGCTGTTTCTGGGTTCTTGCTATTGTGAACTGTGCTGCCACAAACATGGGAGAGCATATGTCTGCTTGTGTTCTGCCTCTGATTACTGTGGGGTATTGGCGCAGCAGGAGTATCGTTGAATTGTATGGTATTGCTAATCCCAGTGATTCTAGGTATCCCCAGATCGGTTTCCACAATGGTTGTACATACTGACAAGCCCATCAGCAAATATAAGAGTTCCCATTTTTCCATGCCCTCTCCAGCATGTATTGTTTGTTTGTTTTTTAATTGGGCTACCATTAGGGTTATAAAATGGTATCTCATTGTGTTTTTGATTTGTACCCCCCAGATGCCTAGTGATTGTGAACATTTCCTCATGTACTTGTTAGCCATTTGAGTGCCTGCCATCCCTTGTAAGTTGTCTGTTATGTCCATTGCCCACCTTTTAATTCGATTATTTGTTGATTTTTAAATTGAGGTGTTGCAGAATTCTGTAGATTTTAGTACTTAGTTCCTTGTCTGTTATGTCATTGCTTAAGTTTTTTCCCCAGTTGGTTGACTCTCATTTCACTCTTTTGAAGACATCTTTTGATGTGTGTTTTATTATTAATAGTCTATTTTAGCTTCCACTCTGTGTGCTTCCTTTATTGTATTTGGTAGTCCATGAACGCCCTGCGATGGGCCCTTAGATTTATCTCACTGATGACCTTGATAGTTCTGGCATTTAAATGTAGGTGTCTAATTCATCTTGAGTCTGTTTTTGTGAGGTATGGGGTGAGGTATGGGTCCTGTTTAATTATTTTGCAGATGGAGAGCCAAGTTTTCCAGCACCATATATGGAAGAGGAGATCCTTTTCCGAATTAATGTTTTTGGTCCTTTGTCAAAAATCAGTTGACTGTAGTTGGATGCTTGTTTCTTGTCCTGTTCCTTTGGTCTATGTATCTAATATTATACCAGAGTATGGTGGCTGAGGTAATTAAAGTTTATTGTGCCAACTATAAACACACGTGGGGTTAACTGAAGGGCGGACAGATAAATGGCTTGGTGAGCCTCGCCTTTCTAGTTCTTGGGCCTCTTGCTTTGTGATGGTTGCACCAGGATGCAGCTGCCTTAGCCAGTTCCCTGCTTTAGTTGGCAAGGCTCACTTCCTGCAAGACATCCCTGAGGAGAAGCCACATGGGCCTACCCTGATGCAGCCCTGGATGCTGGAGCAGCCGGGTGGAGACCCCTGCCAGTGCTGAGATTCTTACATGTTCACTGATTCGGCTTTCCTCCTGCAGTCGGCCTCACTGTGTGTGTTTTATGAGATGGAGGAGGACTTTGTGGATTGGTGTTGGACATATGGGTTAATGTTGGACTTGTGGGCTTGGGCAGCACTGGGTTGGGATGTTTTCTTGATGTGCACTTACCCTTTATATAAGGCTCTCTCTTATACATATGAGTTTCTGTGAATTTGTTTCTCTAATGTACCCAGACTAACACAGCAGCTGTGTAATAGGTTTTAAGGTCAGGTATTGCAAGACCTCCTACTTTGTCTAGAACTTCTTTAGATAAAAATAGTTTAAAACACTGTGACTTTTGGCTATGTGTACTAAATGCCCTTCACACTGCTTCCCTATTAAGTGTTAATATGCCATTTTGATGAAGACAAGACTAAATTCTCATAGAACTTGATAAGCCATGCACTACCGTAGAACATGGTCACGTTAATCTGGAGAATGAAATTCACCGGACATTTCTATTACAATCTAAGAAAAACTGGAGTAGATCTGCAGCTTCTTTGCTTTCTTACAATAATGCTATCTCTAAGGATTCTTTCACCAAACAGTAGCAAATTTAAAAATAAATCTAGTAACTTTTAGAGAGTTACACTTAGATCGACTGGAAGGAATCAGTCTGCAGAGCATGCAGAAGCAAATATCACAGTGTATAAAACTGTACTCTTAGCGTCTCTTTCCCTGAAAAAAAAAATGTGCAACACAAAACCATTCCCTTTCCTTTTTAAAGGAACACATGGGCCGCTTGCAACTGGAGAGACTCTTTCTTTGGATGAAGACATGCAGAAATGGACCATAGACGATGTTACCCATTTCATTCATAGCCTTCCAGGCTGTTCAGCCTATGCTCAGGTGACTTAAACATATTTAAGTGTTTTCACAAAAGCATGATGCTCTGAAATGCACACACAGTTCCTTGATCTCAAGTTCATCAAACTCAAATTTCCCATAGCCTCCTTTCTTTTTATGCCATGGGCTGGCCTGAGATAGAAAGGTGCCTCTGATTGGTGGGACCTGCATCATGTGCCCACAGCCCCGCTACAGAAAGGCTGGGAACACTAGTGTTTGGCTTCTCTTTCTCCTCTAAGAAGCCGTCTCTGTTTCTCATCAAGTGATTTCCTAACACAATTCCAAGTAGCAATGCACCTACTAAACGTGGTATCGTTGTCTTCGGTTCCTTTGTTAAAGGAGAATGAAACAAAGAAAAGGCACTATGATTTAACACATTCAGAATGAGTTGTTTTCCAGCTTTTTTATGGTAATATTTTTCTCCAGTGTAATGCTGTTATATCTTTTTCTTATGGGGTTTATAGAAAAAAATTGACCCGGAGTCAAAGTTATATATATATATAGGTTCTGAATCATAAAGTGTAAGTTCAAATCCTGGCTCTTCTACACTCTGGGCATGTGGCCTAAGCCAAGTTACTTCTCTATTCTCGGGTTCCATCTGTAAAATAGATAATAATTATACTAGAGTTTTCAAAAGATTGTCATAGACATCAAAGAGTGACTGGCACCTCAATCACTTTTTGACATCTACTCACTTATAAACATAAATAAATGACATAATGTCTTTAGTACACCAGAAGCTCCTTTAGCAAGCCCATTAAGCAAAAGTTGTATTCATCACATCTCCCACTTTTGTCTGTTTGCATAACCTGATAAATGTTGCCACCTTTGCGTCCACTCAATTGCCTGATTATTTTATTATTAGTTGTTGACCATGGGAAAGCCGCTTTTTGAAAATTCCCCTGTGCCACTTATCAAGTGCCACATCAGCCACAAAGGCCATCCAGTTACTGAATTCTGACAACTGCCAGAAACGGAGATGCACATGTGATACTGATGCCTGGCCCGGGGTTGGGGGGTTAGGAGGGGGTAGTCAAATTTTGTGTGAACTCCTATTATTCTTAAACGATCAGGGATCCACAATCACAAAAGTACAGTGTATCACAACTGCTCTTGCAGTGAACAATGTAGCATGCTTTTTACACTGTATAATCCCAATGTCCTGACCCTACCTGTGGACCCATAGAAATCACACGCCTATTCCCGACTCCCATGGAGCCTGCCTGTTTCTGCGTTGTGCTCCATTCTTCACACCAAGAAGTGGTACCAGTTATGCCCAGGTGTTTCTCAAATGTGTTCAGGATCAAGTGCTGCTCTTCAGTCCCCACGGGCGACTGCAGGTGAAGCCAGCTGCAAGAACGCCGCTGTGGGTGCTTCCTGCAGCGCTGCCACCACTCTGCACAGGAAGGGGGAGACCCTACCACCAGCACCCCGCCCTCACTTTCAACCCTGAACAACGAACCTTCAGGAAGCTGCTGTGCGCAACTCTCAAAGACCCTGGCCTAAAAGTTCCACAGCCTTTACTTCACAGCCCCTTCCTTTCAACAGGCGGGTCCAAGTCCGCAGGACTAGATGGAGCTCTACAGTCCACCTCTTCTTCCTCATCTCTGCCTAGGGGCAGGGATGTACTCGTCAACCTCCAAGCACCTGCCTCCTGTAGGCAGAAAAAACGTTTTCATCCCCCACTTCCCCAAAACAACAACTAGAACCCAAGACTCCTGTGCAAATAATCTCTTTCAAGAGATGCTTAGAGAGGGTCGGTGGCTCAGCCTTTTAGGGACATCCGGGAGAACGAGCCACATTTTTTGTTTGCCTTAACTCAATGTCTAGTGAGAAGAACCCAGCAGATAAAAATACTCCATTAACATAAGTGAAGCCACTAAACACAGGTCACTTGGCCTCAAATGCTCTGATGAGAAGGGAGGGAAAACATGTCCTGGGTGACAGTAGGGTGCTTGCTCTGCCTCCTTGCCTCGGGTCGGGTGTTGGTACTTCTACCAGGGCTGAAGCTTAAGCACACATTCGTTAGGCTCTGGCTGTACCCCCAACTCTGCTTGAAAAATTATCTGCTTGGTGGTGTCTCCTTGTTTGGATGCTCAAACAGACCCATTTCACTGCTCACTAGACGCCCTGCCATGGAAGGGGAAAGGAGCTAAAGCTACCACCAATTAAGTGTACTTAGGGTTATTGGCACACTTGTTGTTGTTGCTTTAACAGCAGTGAAGACAGCAGGAAGAACTCCCCGATCCGAATCATGCAATACCACCATCTCCAGTTGCTGTTGACTTGATTTCGACTCATGGAGATGCCATGTGTATCAAGGTTGAGCTGTGCCCCATGAAGCTTTCAATCGTTGGTTGCTAAACCTTTCTTCTGAGGCACCTGGGTGGATTATAGTCCATCTCAGCGAGTGACTGCTCACACTAGCCATTTGCAATGACCAGTGACTACTTATGAACTACGGTATATGTGAATTTACAAGTTCTCTAATGTGTAAGCTGTGGGTTTGGAATAACTCATTCAACCTTTCTTATTCTTTTATAAAGCCTAATGATAAAAATCCTGCTATTTGTTTGCCACTGGGTCTGTGCCAGGCATCATACTGGGGACATCATTAGCCTTTTTGATTTGATTGATGCCCACTTTGCAGACTAGTAAAACCATGTGCTTGAAGCATATGCATGTGACTGCAAATTGAGCTATTTCAATGATACTAACTCTACGTTGAGGATACTGGGCCATCTGGTTTCCAGCCAACAGTTTCTGCGCAGGTTTCACAGCATGGTGGGGCAGAAGTCAGACTCCCTGAAACTACAGAAAGACTGGGGAGTGAGAACATCAGACTCCTGTGAAATGTAGCTGTGAAGGGAGAGACGTGGAGCAGTGCTGAGAAACTGGGAGGGTTTGTCTATTTTCATGATTGCTGTCTCTTTCATGATGGTAGAGACTTGTGAAAATCACAGTGTTCTAGAAAGAGCCAGCAGAGGAGAGGCGAGAGACAAGAGAGGGAACTATCTCTTGAGTCCAGCCCCCGAGGAGGGACTGGTGGGACCCATACACATGTGGAGAGACAGTTTTCAAATAGTGGAGGATCCCTTTCCGTTATATCAGGACAGAGAAAGAAAATATAAGTTGTAGGTTCACTGATCAGAATTGGAGAGAATTCTTACCTAGACCTGCTCTGCCCTTGCCTGCCCACCCACAGTCTATTTACAAAAGAATGAAGAAGGGTTCTTTTAAATTTTTTGTCAGGTCTAGAACACAAGCAGCCCAACTACTGTTCACTGTTGCCGAAAGTTAACACCCTCAGCTGCTGACCAAAAGGCTGGAGGTTCTAGCCCATCCACAGCCATCTCCGAAGAAAGACCTGGTGAATTAGTTCCCCCAAATCAGTCACTGGAAACTCTATGGAGCAAGGCTCGATTCTGACACAGCTTAGAGTTGGAGTTCATTCCACAGCAACTGGTGTGGCACCTTTCCTTTCCACTGGCTTCTTTCTTTCTACTGGGAAGTCGCATGGAGTGCTGGAAATGGGCTCTGTATGGTCCGAATGCTGCGGAGGGTGGAAAAAGCGAGACAGACAAAAAGGCTCATCAGAAACACAGGATGGCCAGACCAGCTGGAGACCTGGAAATCATACTACCTACTAGCAGTCTTCCCATTTTTTTCATATTCATCTCTTCATCTGCTTGGGACCTGTGTCTACCAGCAGTTTGGACAAGCTAGCTTCGGAAAGAAAGGAAGGTGGGGTCCCATCCAGGACAGAGTCAGAATAATCAGCTGGAAGAGTCACGTGGTGACAGCTGCTGCCTGGATGCTCAGCTTCCATTCCTCTTGCACCTAAGGCAGAAAACACCGTGCTTGTAAGTGTGAGAGATGAAATCTGTTGCCGATGACTTTTACCTACATCCATTTACTTGGGTGATTTGTCCATTAATCTTTTCATTGACCGAAGCTTCTACGTTTATTGCACATCTTCTACCTTGTGGCAGCCATCACATTGGAGTACATTGATAAATAAGACTGAGCCCTGCCCTCAAATTTAAAAGTTGCAGATTTTACCTGAGTCCCATAAACAAAGAATCCTAAAGAACTCCGGATTATTAAAGAACACAATCTTCTAGGGCTAGGACTGTGTCTGGAGGTTCCATTCCATCCTTGCCATACTGTCTGGGGTCTCAAAAGCTTGCAAACAACCATCCAAGGCACAATGATTGGTCTCTACTCACCTGGAAAATCAGAGGAAGAAGTAGAGTCTGGAATCAGGGAAGAAATGGAATGTGTGGCTTGTTGTCTCCATGAACAGCTGCCTCCTTTGCCATGAGACTAGAAAACCTGGATGGTGCCCGGCTACTGTGCTGGGACATTTTGATGAAAGATTCTATAGAAGAATCCTGATCAAAAGGATGGCAATGCAAAACAGAATGTCAAATTCTCATGGACTCCAGACTTTCTGGACACACGGAGGCTGGTTGAATCTATCTATTGTCCTGAGATGGTCTTTAAACCTTAAATCAAAAATGTCCCCTGCAGTCCTCTTAAAACCAAACAGTAGTCTAGTCAGGAGGCAGCAAACAGCGGTTCGAGGACTCTGTGTGACGCTTTTGGCACATCCATGTACCGCTGAGTAAAGCTGAAAAGTTTTAAAGGATATTACAGAGATAATGGCGATTTCATTTGTTTGTAAAACTATATTTATGACTCTCAAATAATTTTTAAATTGTTGTAAGGGACAGGATTGGCCCTTCCATCTCAAACGTTTACTAGCCTCTGGTCAAGCTTACCTAGTTAAAACAAAAGTCTGTTATGAGCCTTATGGTTCTTAAAGCACTATCTATGCGGGGGCAGAGTGATGAGAGCTTGGGGTTAGGGAGTTTATGTTAATGGAGGAAAAACAGCTGAGAACAGCAGAACGCAATTGAATGCACACTTGAAGAATGTAATTACGGAATTGTATGTGTAGAAATTGTTGACGTGGTGTATGTTTTGCTCTGCATACTCTCAACAATGTCAACAAAATGAGCTTCAGGAAAATGTGTGTGTACACAGTGATCCAGGTGGTTAGCAACAACCAACCAACCCAAACAAAACCAAAACACTGAGCACAACCAGCACGTCACGGAAGCACAGAAGACAGAGAAACTAAAAGTAAAAAATGTTTGTGTTCGACTGGGTCGACTAGAGAAACAAATCCGGAGACACTCGTACATGGATAGGAAAGAGCTCTAGATCAAAGAGCAATTGTCCCAGCCTCATCCAGAACAAGTCTGTAAGTCCGATATTAGCCCATATGTCTGATACTAGCCCATAAATTCCTCTTTAGACTCACGCAGCACATGCAATGACGCTGAATGCAGGAAGATAACAGGCCAGTGGGTGGAAAGTCTTGTAGATCCAGTGGTGGGGGAAGCATCGCAGCGCTGGCATGGGTCTCCACGTGGCTCCTCCAGCTCCAGGGCTCTGGCTCCATCTGTGTGCCTCCATGTGGTTTGTCAAAATAAATGTGTAGCAGAGAGGGTGAGTGTGTCCCGCCCCCAGGGAGGAAGAGGGGACAACTCCCAGAATTCTCATGAAAGGTCACGCCCACAAGGAGGCATCAATCAGGCTGTGACCTGATTGACAGGCTAGACTCCACCCCTATAACCTATTTAACAAGTTGACATGAAATTATGTAACTACCACAATGTTATAAATGTGTCTGTGATCATAGAGAAGGCAATGTTTTTTCCCCCCAACCAGAATATTTATATGTAAGTAATTAAAAAAAAATCCGTTGGACAAAGTTAACGCCTTTTGTGTTTAAATAAGGTGTTTAAAGATCACGCGATCGATGGAGAGACTCTGCCGTTCCTCACCGAGGAGCATCTTCGAGACACGATGGGACTAAGGCTGGGGCCTGCACTGAAGATTCAGTCTCAGGTAGGGTGACGTCACATACCTACATGTGGGTTCATAGCATCAAGTAGAAAGTAGCCATGTTACGTTTCCCCTGGTGTGCTCTAAATAATACCTATTCAATCTCTTCCTAGGATCTTCCAAAACCTCGATGGGTAGGAGCATGACAGAACTTTGAGAACATAAAAATATTAGATGGGTTGATGATCCACTTTTCTGTGTGTAGTTATAAAGGGATAGCTTGTGGTATGCCGGTAAACGTTTACAAAGCAAGTCTCTCTCTCTTTTTAAGACAAGCGCTCTGATTAGCAGCCTTTGCCAGTTTCTGTAAGTTGGTAACACTCCCACGGTGATTAATTTCACACCACCAGTGTGATGTCGCTTGAACGTAGAACTGGGAAGAGATGCACAGTAGCAACCATTTTGTAGTTTTCCTCCATACAGATATGATAGATAGCGATAACCTCATGGAATGATTAGAGAGGTTGTAAGAGACAATTCACTGCCATAGAGCCGATGCTGACTCACAGCAAACTTGCTGGACAAAGTAGAACTGCCTCTGTATATTTCTGACACTGTAACTTTTTAAAAATCATTTTATTGGGGGCTTGTACAACCCTTAACACAATCCATCCATTGGGTCAAGCACATTTGTACATTTGTTGCCATCAGCATTCTCAAAACATTTTCTTTCTACTTGAGCCCTTTGGTATCAGCGCCTCATTTTTCCCCCTTCCTCCCTCATGAAACCTTGATAATTTGCAGATTTTTTTTCATGCCTTACACTCACCAATGTCTCCCTTCACCCACTTTTCTGTCCCCCGCCCCCCAGGGAGGGGGTTATATGTAGATCAAGGAGAGCAGCAAGCCTCATTGTTCTCCAACCGAGCGACTGGTGATTTCGAACTCTTGACCTTGAGGTTAGCATCCCAGTGCATAACCCACTACCACCACTAGGGCTTCTGGTAAGATAATGAAGTAAAAATAATGAAAAAGCAACGGGGTTTGCATCTATATGACCTCCATTTTCAATATAATTAATTTAATTGTAAGTATACCAATTTTTAACAATAGTATGCTTAACAACCAGGCTGGCAAACTTCCTAAAAATTTCCCTTTCAACTTTTGTGAGCTGGTGCAAACCAGTTTCAGCACCCCACTGTGTGTGTGTGTGCGTGTGTTATATGTCCTCAGAAACCAATCAGTTCTGACCATCTCCACTGCTTCATCCTTGTCCACAGCAGCAGCAGCAGCATCTCTACGACCATGCATCTTCTCACTGTTCTCCCTGCCCTTTACTTACCATTCACAGTTTGTTCACAAAGGAATGAAGAGCGGTCCTTTTAAATGGGTGTCAGGTCTAGCATGTGCTGGATTCTTTCTCTATCTGTTCTGTTGACCAACAGATCTCTGAGGCACGAGAGAACTAGAATAGGGTCGATACATAATCATTGAAAGGATGAGCAACATTAAAAGTGAATCTGAGAAGCACCTACTAATTTTCCTCAGGATTTATGCAGGGCCTCATCAACAAACACAAAAGTTTCCACTCGCGAATAGAACTACCTCCACGGGGGCAAGGAGTCTGATATTTTGCTGCTGCTAGGTGCCCTTGAATCCGTTCCAGCTCCCAGTAGACCTGTGTAAAACAGGACACTGGACACTGGACACTGCCCAGTCCCCCAGAGCATTGCTGTGTTTGAGCCCATTGTGGCAGCCACGGTGTTAGGCCGTCTCACTGAGGTCTTCTCCTCTGACTTTCTGCTTTACCCCGCACGCACGATGTTCTTCTCCGGAGACGTGTCCCTCCTGCGAACATGTCCGGACTATGGGAGACAGAGACCTGCCTTCTTCGCTTCATAGGAGTAGTTTGGCTGGCATGTTCGTTCTCCTGGCAAACCATGGGCCACTCAGTATTCTTCACCAACACCACACGGTGAGGGCCTCAACCGTTCCTCTGTCTTTCTTGTTTATCGTCCACTGTGCCCATGCAGGGGCAGGGCCGGCACACCTCGGTCCTCCAAGTGACAGCTTGGCTTATAAACGTGTTTGCAGCAGATTGGATCATACAGTAAGTCATTTGATTTCTGTTTTGTGAGTGTGAAAACCTTTTCTTGACTTTTTGTACGATTGCTCTCCTACAATATGTGTCCTTTTGCAATTGCCTTAGGTCAGCCAGCATAATGTCTTCCAAATTAATCCTCCTTATGAGGAGTTTTGCCGGTTTGTTAATCTGAAACATGGCCCAGTATTCCACTGTGCATATGTCTCCTCATTTGTTCCTCCGCTCTTCTGTTAACAGCCATGGAGGTTTGTCTGTCTTTTCGCTATTGTGATTTGATAAGCATGTGTGTGCATCTGTATCTATTTGTGTCACAACTATTATTTCTCTAGGACGTATACTTAGTAGTGAGCTTACTGGATCATGTGGTATTTCTCTTCCTGGCTTTTTAAGCCAGGGCTATACTGTTTGCCATGGAGGTTGTCCCCTTTTACAATTCCACCAGCTAGGTGCGTTAGGGTCCCAGTTTCTCCACGTGCCAGCGTATTTTACTTTCTAGGTTTGCTTGTTTAACTTTGTTATTAATGCTGGGCTAAGCTAATCTCTCAATGCTGTTTTGTTTGGCATCTTTCTAATGGCTAATGATGGCGAGCATGGCTTCATGAGTGTGCTGGTCACCTCAATGCCTTCTTTGGTGAAGTGTCTGGTCATATATTGCCAAATATATGAAATCCATTTTGTAATTGGATTATTTCTGTTTTCGCTGTTGAGATCATTGGTTTTCTGCAATTTTAGAGATTAACTCCTTGCCCAATATTCATTGCCAGCTTTCCTCCGGTCTTTTTACTCTTTTTGTGTTGGCTTTTGACGTACACTTATTTTTAGAAGGTCCCAGGCATCTACCTTGTCTTCTGCTGTTTATACATTTTTTTGCTATATTTGATAGTGTATTTACATCATGTATTAGGGCCCCCAAATTTGTCCCTTATTTTTCTTTGATAATCTTGATAGTTTTAGG